GTCATACCTACATCATAAATCCCCAATCAAATGAAACAACTAGGAAAATGATGCTGATCAAATCAAAACAAAAATCATTGAAAAGTTTACAAACCATCATCAGTTGTTCATTTTCAGAATCACTACCAGCATCGTTACATCTTTGCTCATTTTAAACACTTTGAAGGTAACCTCATTTCGAAACCCTGAATTTCTAATGACAAGCGACAAAATAACTTCAGTTGGGCTTCTAAGAAAATTCACAACAGTACACGAAAATTTGGGAAGGGTAACAAAATCAAATCTATGCTTCACCTGGAAACCAAATCAATTGAAACTTCCCAGTCCTTCCTCTCAGTTTTTATGTATTACTGTTTCCAATCAGAATCTGCCCTGCTTGTAATTATTCAGTCAAATGTTAGAGACTAGAACACTTAAGCCATCTAATCTTTACCTTATCTCGGTTAGGCTACCTTATTTGAGGCATCCAATTCTTACCTAATGCACCATCACATACACCAAAGAAGAAAGTAGCCGCACCCAGATCAGGATATGAAGCATGCTACGACAGCAAATGATACTACTCATTAAAACATATCTCTACCAGAGAAAATTAAAGATGCAAATATTTTTGAAAACAAAAGCATCTAGATACTTAAGCTCTTTGAGGGCACAAAAGATTTAATTCTTTACTCACAGCATCCTTCATGGTTGCATGCCATCCTTGAATGGACGATGGCTTTGAGCTTGATTGAGCCGACCCTATTTTGAAGAATGGTGAAACCACATTGCTTTGAGTGTAATTATTCTTGGAAGTTCCTGAGATTCCAATAGCTTTTGGCTGAGCAGCTGCAATGTTTACAGGAGTTCCATCATCATAACTGCAGAAATTGGGGATGAAGGTGGGAAGCGCCAAAACCACTAGCAAGGATTTTGCTACTCTATGATAGAGGTAGAACCAAGCACCAAATTCTCAAAAATATGAACAAAAATATGATATTATTACTCTTTTTGTTATCGAAATCTCTTGTATATTCATAAGGGAGGTTATTTACAAAGCTGTTTCAAACTGCATCCTAGCAAAGGAAGGTGGAAATCTGGAAGCAAATAGCTTGCTTTGGAGTTTGGATTTCTCATTAAAACACAGAAATTGTGTGGCACGCCTCCACCATCCAGTGCACAATAGAATGTGGTAAATAACCAGAAATCAATGATAATAAAAAATTGAATCAATAATAAGCAGAATCAGACAATGAAATGATTAAATTTGAAAGATCTATGCACCTGGAAGACTGGTTATATAATGCAAAGCGATACTCTCTAAAAGGTACAAATCATGGATATTGGCTTAACTTCTCTCCCACACTCCTTTTCCTGTTGCCTTTCACCATTGGAAGCTATCTTAAAATTAACACCATGAGCATCATCATTAATGCCCCTTTCTTCAACTGCTTCACCATAATCAGCACAAATAGGTGCATCTGGAAGACGTAAATAAACAAAAGAAAGAAAGGATAAAATTAGCTAAGAGAGTTGATAGGAAGAAGAGATTTAAGTATCAGAATCACTCCAGTAATGTGAATTCCAGATTGTAATGTATTAAGTTTGGTTTATAATCTATTAAATGCATATAAGAATTAATCAATTTAGACAATGACGCTTTACTTGTACTGCTTATGGTTAAGGAAATGATTTCTTGGAACTCAGAATTGAATTATTACAGCTTCTGGCGGGCAACTGGATTTCAACTTTGCAGAATCACAAACCCATATATTTGATAACGAACCTGCACCTCGCACATAAATATGCAAATATCAGATAAAAGTAAAAACCAAACTTAGAAAAATTGCTCAAAATGGACCATATGTAATATAGGATCAAAGAAATTACAAAACACATTATATTATTATGGTTCCAGGCGAAACATAATATTAATTTTGAAGGGTAATTTAGGATCAGAATACAGATACACATAGAAAATAAACATAGCAGAATCAATACTCATTACTTGGTAGTTTATGACACCAAAGTCTCTGCCAAAATCAGAAATGATATTACTTAGGAGTACTTCAAGTTCATCGGAGACCAGAGCCTGGGACTCTTCCTGCCAATTGCCGATCGATTCTGCCAATTGCCGATCGATTCTGCCAAAATTGGCACCTGCAATACCGAAATTGAAATCCTACATGTTTTTAATTTCAATGATTTTACTTCCAACTCACACAAAAAAAAAAGGGTTAATTTAAATATTCTAATTACTGATTATCACAAACTAAACAACTCAATAAATTTATTAGAACCAACTACCAAATTCTCAAAAATCTGAACAAAAATAACCATACCCAAAAGGAACCCATTTAAGAAAATAAGAAATCCCTAAACAAACAAACACCAGCAAAATGGAATAAGAAATATAGAAAGGAGTTAAAATCATAATAATTCATACAATAGATAAAAGAGATTTGATTCCATATATAGTACCCAGTTTGGTGCGAATCTCAGATGAAATTGGGGAAGCAAAGGTTGGACTCGACTCAACTGGATCTCTTCTATTCGGTTTCAGAATCAGAATAACAAGACTGGGCTAGACTGGAGGAGAAAATGAGAAAAGAAGGGTTTTACTGGCACGTGCTATTCGGGGCTGCACATAACTTAGTTGGACATGTCAGGTACATACACAAACGGAACATTGCTGCTCATCCTGGCCGTCCGTTAGTGCTTTCTTACTCTGGATCACGATCGTTTATTCCCTTCAATTCAACCTTCAAGAATCAATGAAGCAACATAAATGATAGAAGAGGAATTGGAAAACAAATAAAATAAATAAATAAAATTAGAAATTGAATACTTAATCAATCAACACCTTACCCCTCATTCCAACCACTCGTTAGAATATGTCAAGAAAGGGTGAAGTAGGTTCTTACGATCCCACTCCACTGATTCCCACCATTCTTTTGACTCTTCATCTAGCTCGATTTCTCTGAGACGAGGAGGAGGAGATGGTTGGCCATTATCAAGCAGTGGAAGCTGCACAGGGATCCTCTTTAACTCCCGACAATACAATATTCGATTCTCTAAGACGAGGAGGAGGACGTGTCAGGTACATACACAAACGTAATGTCACCGCACATCCTGGCCGTCCGTTAGTGCCTTCTTACTCTGGATCATGACCGTTTATTCCCTTCAATTCAACCTCCGAGAATCAATGAAACAATAGAAATGGTAGAAGGGGAATTGGAAAACAAATAAAATAAATAAATAAAATCAACATTCTTAAAATTAGAAATTGAATACTTAATCAATCAACACCTTACCCCTTAATTATCGCCGGGATAATATTTCAAGAAAGGTCGAAGTAGGTTCTTATGATCCCACTCCACTGATTCCCACCATTCTTTTTCTATCTTGATTTCTCTGAGATGAGGAGGAGGAGATGGTTGGCCATTATCAAGCAGGGGAAGCTGCATAGGGATCCTCTTTAACTCCGGACATCTGAATATATAAATTTCTTGAATAGAATCACAAACCATAACTCCTTTGGCACTGCGGATGCTCTTCAATTGGGGTAAATGCCACAACCACAATCTCCTTAACTTGGGAAAAGTGAATTTATCCGATGATGCATCTGAATCTGATGATGCTATTATCTCCTCCATTTGTTTGCACTTAATAACATTAATCTCCTCTAAGTTTTGGAAGGCCTGTAGCAGCTCAAGTGGAAGCAACTTCCTCATTCCTGAACAATCCCAAATAACGAGCAATTTAAGATTGGAAAAGACGTGCGGTGGTGTTGCTACTCCTTCCACCGTCACAAGTGCACTCAACTTAGGCAATTTGAAAAGACGCAGCTCTTCAAGCTTATCCAGTACTGGATAGGAGGATAAGTCCAAGTCAACGACGCACTCCATATCTTCACAACCCCTAATATAACAGGATCTCAACTCGGTTGCCTTTTCTAACAAAGCTACTTTATTTAAGCTGCTTCTCATGTTTTTACCCTTCCAGATCTCCAAATTCTTAACGCTATCTGGAAGCACTATACATTCTTCTCCTAAGTCACAATTATTAATACTAACCGCAGGTACCCTTGGAGTAGTCACCAATATTGGGATTCTTTCTACTACTTTAATATGGTAATCAGTAAGAATTTGGAAATCTTGAGACTTGACAAAATAATTGTAGCTTTGTATGTCATTGAATATACCTTCAAAGGTCTCCAACTTACTCATTCTCGCAACCTCTTCTCCTTCTATCTTCAACATTTCAAAAAACAAGTACTGGAGATTGGAAAGGTTTGATAACATTCCCATTGGAATCTCTTTTAGATTGCAACAATACCTTAAATCAAGATATTCCAGACTAATCAATTTCTCCATGCCTTGAGGGACCTCCTCAATCCTGGATTCAAACAGATCCAACTTCTTTAATACCGTAAGCTTTGCTAAAGAAGGCAAATACCTTAACCTCCTACACCACCTTAACCTCATGGAAGAGAGCTTCTCCAAGTTTGAGATGGAATTAGGTAAAGCTTCAATACCAGTTTCAGAAAGATCAAGAACCTTCAGTTCAGGCATACCTTCAAAGAAGGATTCTGGGATCTCTGACAAATTAGGATTATTTGACAATATCAAAGTTGAAAGAGTTGGACACTTTGGGCACAACCCAAGGGGAATTTTTGATATGTTATTCTCCATTAGAGACACCTTCTTAAGATCATTTCCCCACCCACGCTCATCTGGTACCTCTGTCAATTTCATACCAGCTTTTACCATATATCCAAATTCAGGACCGATGCTTTTGATAGCCATGTCTCTCAGTACATCATGCATCTTGAAAACATCACCACCCCAATCAACAGTTTTCTCTAACAAGCAATTCTTTACTAGCCTATTTAAAAAAGCCTGGCCTCTCTCATAAGCTACTTTTCTACTAGGCAACACATCAATTAGTCCTTCATCAATCCACCCTTCTACCAACCATTCTCTCAAAAATGGATAATCTTCAGGAAACAAGGAGCAATAAAGAAAACAACTTTGGATTTCAGAATTATCCAAACGATCATAACTAAACCTTAACCTCTTAAATATCTCTTGATCTGAACCAGTCACACTCTTTACCCGTTCCCGCAATTCAGTTAGGGCATTATTCCACACTTTCACATCTTCTTCTCCCTTCATACTCTCTGCTATCACAACAATGGCTAGCGGTAAGCCACCACACTCCTGGACAATGAGCTTCAAGATTCTTTCTAAGTTTGGAACTTCTATAGCATGACTCCCAACTTTATCAAAGAATAAGCTAAGAGACTCCTGAAAGGAAAGAGGTTCCACTTTGACTATCTCACAGCCCATTTTTTGGCACACATCAATCAATCTACTAGTGATAACTATTTTGCTTCCACTCTCAATTGTTGGTTTTGGAATTCCAACATCATTCAGAGAAAATTTTTCCCAGACATCATCTAGTATCAACACATGTCTTACTTTTTCCATAATGCCCGTCAATTTAGCCGACCGCATCTCTTTGTCCTCATCTTTTCGGAGTTCCTCACCAAAACCATGAGCGATGTTTTCTTGTAATTTGAGTACATCCAGTGGGTAAGATACAGTGACCCAAATCACTTTATTAAACTTAGTGTGCCTCACCAATTCATTATTGATATTTTTCATAATGGTAGTCTTTCCAACCCCACCAATCCCACAAACTCCAATCATTCCAACCTCATTGCCCATCAAGTATCCCCAGATTTTTTCTTTTGCAAAAGTTTCACCCACTACTTTCTCAATTGGCATGATGACTCCACGGGATGGAGGTCTGTCAACTATGAGACCATCAGGAAAACTGCCTTGTTCATGGATTCTCTTCACCACCTCCATTTTCTTTCGAACAAGTTTCCCTAGACGGCCCTTTGAGTACCACTTAACTCTCTGAGTCTTTTCTTGAATGTCTTCCACTTCATTATTGATTTCTTGTACATGTTTAAGCCAACCTTGCACTTCATGTTTTACTTCTTTTCCCAAACTTGTATGGGACTGTATGCTTAAATTTATATCCTCTTTTCGCCTGTTTAGAACTTCCAATTCCCTTCTTAGATCACTCACAGCTTCATCAAAAGTTAAGTGATAATCTAGATAGGTGCAGGCTGACCTCCCCAAACACTTTACCAGTTCCATGATAGGCTCCACCAGAAGCTCCATTGAAGAAGACCCTATAAAATGAAACACCATGTGTATTAGAATGTATACAACAACTTCAAAAACAATGCAAGATATAGGAATAACTAAGGGTTAACAGGATGAAAAAGTGAGACCAGAAAGGGTTGGGAAAATTGTCACGTCATGTATACATTTGAATTTTCTTCTTCATCAGTATACTGTCTACATTAAAAAAAACTCTTAAATAGGAGAAAATACTTGAATTAATTTGTAGAAAGTTACCTGATTAAGAAGATGGTTTTGAAGGAAGATGTAGTTGAGTGACTTGATTAGAACTTCCTCTCCTTTCTACAAATTTGATTACAACTGAAAAGAAAAAGGAAGATTATTTACACCAAAAATGAGTAAATAAAATGATAAAGCAATGTAGTTGATTGGAGAAAATTGGGCTAATAAATTAATGCAATGATTTTTATTTTTTTATAGAATACTGACCACTGCATTCATCAATTTAGAAGCTTTTACAAGAAAAAAAAGAAATATAACATGACTAGGAAAAAGATGGCAAATATTGTTGCTTGCATTCAAAGACCTAAATAAAATGAGTATAGATAGCTTACATTATACAAGCCTTACACAAAATTTTCAGTCAATTATTTCAAAATTTAAGGAATTCATGCATCACTTAAATTACAATATTTATTCTTAAAATTTGAACTTGAGATTCCTTGTTTTTTGTGTGTCTAATGATGCATTATATAATAATCAATAATCCTTCTCAACCCCCGTCCACCACATCTTAAGACTTGTACTTAATACCTCAAACATAAAAACTCAAGATTTAAACTATTAGGACATCTTCTAGTGGGCACAAGCATCATATCATATTTGAAATGACAATAGGACTGGTGAGAGTTGGACTGTAATATTCCCACCTATGCCCTTCAAAAAATATTTTACTTTTACCTTGCCAATATCCTTTTAGTAAAAATATACATTACCTTTATTCTTAACCTTTTAGGTAATGGGTAATAAGGTAATTTTCATTCATTGTCCTTTGAATTTTTAGTTAAATTTACACTTATAAACTCGAATTGAATGTTCAAAATTTTGAATGATAAAATAATTTAATTGTAAATATATCAATTGTTTTCTTTGAGTAATTGGGTAATTATATAAAAAATGCTAAGGCCCTTTTTTTTTCAATTTAGATAAAAAAAAAAAGAGTAAGTGAATGACTAAGCACTCAAATTTTGAATGTGATAACTTTTAAGCTCTTCAATTTCACATTACTTAAGCTCCAAAACTAAATTTGACATCATTTAAACTTTGGAATTCCTAAACTTGTTAAGAAAGGTTGTAAATGGTTGGAATAATACCTTTGTACTCCCTTAATATATATATATATATATATATATATGTATATTTTTTTTTGTTGACAAAAAATGTTAAGATCAACTTACAAGTTGTTGGGATTATGTTTTGAAATTTCATGAAGAATTGGAGGTCTTGTGAGATTTGGTTACCCAATTAGATTCCAACTTGAATATCAATGTCTATATGAGAATTATTTTAGGTAATTTCAAATTGATATGAGATTTTGCTCTACTCCAAACCAAACTCCAATATTTGCAATCTATTATAAATGTGTTCTTAATAAAATCAAATGTGTGGTGTGGTTTAAACCAACCCTTACAAGGTGATGAGTAAGAGCTCATCCACTCTCGTTGAATACTGAACAGGGGAGATTCCTTTGTTGAGAAAGGCTTTTGAGCAATGTGTTGATGAAAGCATGAAAAGGTTTATTAAAAGTGTTCTCAACAATTGACATTTGTGAAGTTATGGACTTAATAGTAGCATTTTTTTATAAATAATTTTATAATTCTAGATTCTATTAATTGTGTAACTTTTGTTGCTTGAACGTTCAATGATTAAATGGAAAAAATTGAAAGGAAAATGTCTTAAGTGCAAACAAGGTGTTAGAACCTATCTCTAGACTCCAATCCTTGATCATCAAAATGCACAAGAGGGTCAAATACAAAAGAGGTGTCACATCCTATCTCTAAGTTTCAACTCTTGATTGCTAAAATTGCATAAGGGCTAGACACAAGAGAGGCATCCACTGTCCACCCTATCCCTATGTTTCAATTGGAGTGCACGTTGAAGAAAAAAATAATTAATTCTCTCAAAGGTTGCTAATCCTTGCTACCAAACAGTCATACTTTAATCCTAATATAAATAGGGATCTTAGGAACTAAGATTAAGATTCTTTTCCCTTCTTTTTCATCATTCTTTTTTTAAACCAAAGGAAGAGAAAATCATGTCAAGACATAACTAAACTTTTAACATGATTATAGAGGATTTTGACTGTTGAGTTTGACTAATTATATTATTTTGATTTTTTAAGGGATTTCATTGTTTAATTTTGTTCTTGAGATATTGTCAATTATTTTGAGATTTGAAAGCTGTCAACATGATTTTGTTTTGATAAATTAATTCTATTGATTTGGTTAGAAGAAAAACACTTTCTAGTTTTTACTTCTATTTTCTTGTAAAAACACTTCTCTCATTTTTTTTCCTCCCTATTTTCATGAATTAATTAATGCTATTTATTAAATTTTGTTGCCATTAAAACTTAAAATGCATTAAAACTTAAAATGCATTAAAACTTAAAATGCATTAAGGCCTAAAGATTGAAAAATAAGTGTAAAGGAAATGAAATTTTATTGTTGTCTAGATAACTCTTTTATTTACCAATTAATTTTAATCTTTTCTTTAAAATTAAATTTCAAAATAAACCCAATTTAAAATCCTACTTAAATCTAATTTGAATCTTATAATAAAATGCTCTTTTAAATTGTACTATTTATTTGAGATTTAAAATTCCTTTTATCAAATTGTTTATTTAAATTCACAATTAATTTCATTATAACATGTTTTTTGATTTCAATTTTTTCTTTGCTACGTTCAACTTCAAATTGTTATCTCATCAAATCTATTTTTAATTCTAATTTCAAATTGTTATCTAACCGAATCTAAAATCAATCTCCAGTGGTGATTATCCTTTTTTATTATCAAAATTTTAATTTAAATTCACAATTAATCTCATTATAATATCCTTTTGAATTTCAATTTTTTTCTCCTAAATTCAATTTCAAATTGTTATCTCACCAAAATATTAATTTCAAATTGTTATCTTACTTCATCTAAATTCAATCTCTACTAATGATTATCTTTTTCTTATTGTTATTCTTAATATTAAATTTTCCTCCAACAACCATATGGGCAAATATCCAAAATATATATATAAAATAAAAAATTATTTGAATTTAAGAATAAATTCCCGTGTAACATAGCTTTAAAAAGAAAAAGTGAGAAAAAAAAATAAAAATAAAAACAAATTATGTACAATTAAATGTTCAAGGTCTTAATTCAAAAACAATTTCCCTATTTGCAAAATCAGTGCTCAACTAAAATGATATTAGCATAATTTTTCTTCTTAAATAAGAATGCTCTAATTGTTCAAAACTTCAAAGAACAAAAAATGAACAAAATTAATGATTATAATTAAATTTATGACAATATTCCAGGCATGAACAATAATTATGGTACACATTTAATAAAGTATCATACCTGGTTTTCACTATTGTTGATAAGATTAGGAATGAAGAATCTGATGCCGTTATTAATTGCAGATCTTTGGTCTTGAAACAGCTGAAACCAAGAGGAGAAAAATATATAAATCATAAAATAGATGAAAATAGAAAAATATACGAAAAGAAATAGGCTCACTTCGCTTAGAAGAAACGGACTTTTGAAAAATAGTTAACACCTTGATTAGAGTATAGGCCAGATTTTAGTTCAAGACCCATGTTAATGAGGATGGGCTTTAATTTTTATAAAAAGTAATAATTAAGTCTTTTAGTAAAGATAGGAAACCCAACAATAAATAAATACTAACCCTAAAGAAATTGTAGGGAGTTAATATCATTATACTCGGTTTTGGTATTGTGAAAGCACTCTCTTTGCGCATGATATTTCTCTCTTTCAGGTTTCCCAAGTAAATCATATGTTTGTCTTCAATTGACATTTTTTTATTTTTTTTTTGCCTTTACAATAAGTAAAATGACTTATTAGTGTATGAATATAAGAAATAGAAATGTATATGAACAAGTTATAATAACACTAATTTTTAGAAAGT